TTTTTTTCTTCCTAGATGGCGCGGTTCCTTTGAAATGCTTAGAAGATGGTGTTTGTATGTCTTGTAAACTGAAGCCTTATTTATTTATTTATTTTTTGTGGCAGGGCTTAATGCAACATCATGAAGAAATAGTCGAATACTTCAAGTCTAGAGGGGTTTCGGCTATTTTTCTATTTCGAAAGAATCTTTTACGCCGAATGATTTCAGTTCTAGCAAATTCTTACGATCAGAATGCAAAGCCTCTCAATGGCACTCACAAATCTCATGTCCATTCACCTCACGAGGTCATCCATCCCTCTCTCTCTCTCTCTCTATATATATATATATATATTTATGACACGAGACAGCTTGGATACAAATATATCCGCTCAAAACGAGTTTTTTTTTGTTAACCATAGTTGATTTTGAAAAAAATAGTATAATTAGTTGTTAGTGGAATTTTGAGTTCATATTAAAATAATATTTAAAATAAATTAATTAAAGTTGATTTGATGTAAAATGAGGAGAAAAATGATGTGAAGTAATAGTTAGTTAAAATTATGTAAGTGGATGAATAGTGAATTAAAGTTGATGTGATATGTAAGAATGATTTATTTGTATTATTTAATTTTATTGATAATATTGAAGATTGTGAGGTTCGATTAAAGGTGAGTTAGATTTTGAGTAAAAATTGAGTATGAATTGAGATAATTTATAGACACACACTCCTAGTTGTATAAATTAAAACAAGGGATAATTACAAATACTACACTTAATTATATGATAGCCCTAAAGCTTAGTTAATCCATGCAGGCTGAAATTCTTGCGAGTTACAAGCCCACGATTAACACAACTTTGCTCTTACCAAACCTAATGCAAGTCGAGGATATGGTTAACAAATCCTTGCAATACTTCAATAGCACTCGGCACATTATCCTATACTATGAGGACATCATAAAGAATCGAACTGTAAGTCATAAATTACATAAAGCTTTGATTATCTTCTAGTATAGTATTACCTTAAAAAAAACAAAAAAATCACAAAGCCATTTTAGTCACCATGTTTTTTTTTTTTTTTTTTTTTTTTTTTTTTTTTTCCGACAGAAATTGTTAGATGTTCAAAATTTTCTGAGGGTTCCAATACAGAAACTAAATAGTCGACAAGTGAAGATACACAAAGGCTCCTTATCGTCTCAGGTCGAAAACTGGGGAGAAATCGAGAACGCACTTAAGGGAACTCGTTACGAAAGCTTCTTGAACGAGGATTATAAGTTGTGAGTTGAGTGCACTCTGTATATATTCTGCTCAATTAGTTTTGTTTTTTTTTAGTTTTTAGCTTAATTTATTGATTAATTCTTTTAAAAAGCATGAGCTTATTAGGGGTAAACTTAGGAATGCTTCTTCTTTAGATTAAATTCTGCAAGTTTTGTATGATTGATTAATGAGTTGAATAATTTTATCAAAGAATGTCAGTCATAGAGTTGTGAATAAAAGATAGTGTTTTTGATTTCATTAATTAAGGAAGTGTTTGTATATTTTTTCTGGCCAATAAAATAGGGGAAAAAAAACACTTGTCTTGTGGGTATACAGTATACATCCTGGGCACTGGATGAGAATCAGATTTCAGTTCATGTTTTATTTTATTGATGAATGATATGTGTGTATGATTATATCACGATTATACACGTATCGGTCGGGTGGGCTTGAGGTCGAGGTCGCTGTTTGCTGCGTTGGAGCGGACGGCGGCTGAGTTCATTGCTGGCTAAACCCTCTGGGCCATTCCGTCTCCTGGTGCTGGGGCGGGTGGTCCGACGGTGGGGAGTTTCGGGCTGCCAGCGGCGGTTGGTTTTTTGGCTGCCGGTGGTGGTGGGCATTCGATTGCTCCCAGCCGGTTTGGTGTTGGGGGTTTTCAGCTGGAACTCGCGGGGGTGCTCGGGGTGGTTCTGGTAGTAGGAGGAGGTTCTGACTACTGTATCCCTGTTTAGTTAGGTCTCCGATTGCAGTTTCTAGATCTGGTGGAGTCGTATTTCTTTACCTATTGGGATTCTTTCGTGCGTATGGCTCGGTTGTCTGTTGCGGTTGTGGAGGACTGTTTATTGTTTATTTTTGTTTATCTTGGGTTCTCTTCTCTGTGTGTTTTTTATGTGGTTTGTGTTGCTTTTCTGTTTATTATTATTTGTTTTTTTCGTTGTTGGTGTGTTTTTTTCTCCAGTTGTGGAGTATGTTTCTCGTGTTATTCTCGTGTGAGAAGTTTGTTTTATTCTTCTGTTGGGAGTTTTTTTATTGAATAAAGCTACTCGTACAAATTTTTTTGTTGTTCCTCAGTTAGGTAACTTCGTTAGGTCGACACCCTTAGTAAGGCCTCTGTAAGAATTATTTTGTACAATTATTTTGTACAACATGATGTGTCATCATGTAGATAATTGAGATCCAAAAAAATGTGTGACTAAGATTTGTTCAATGATTGTGATAACTAGTGTTGTCAATTAATATTGTCAACACTAGTTGTACATGTAGCATGACCCTTTTTTTATTTCTCTTCTTAGTTTTGTAGTGTCTGTCATAGTTTATAGGCTGCTTTGGGTAATGTTCCTATTTTGGCTAGTTAATTATGTATTTTATTTATTGAACTTATCGTTTTGAAAAAAAAAAAATCATGAAATATTGAAATCAGTGTTAATCTATATATATATAATTGCTAGCATATGAGTATTTAATTTTACCTATTAAATTATACCTAGCTGGCATTTCTAAGATTTTCCCGCTTAAATATGTTACATCTCAATTAATATTTGTTTTTATTGTTTTTTATTAATGTTGACTGTATTCTTAGCCGTTACAAATTATTTTAAAATGTCTCAGATTCTATTAACAATTTAAATAATGGATACAATTATCAATAAACTTTTTTTTATTCAAAACATTGCTTTTGCCAACATATATAATGCTATAATTTTAAATTAGTTACTCTAAAAGCCTTTATTTTTAATAAAAATATAAGTTTCTATTAATAATATTAACGAAGAACAAAAAAAGGAATACATAACAGATAATACACCATATACACAATAAATAACAAATTATAAAATTAAAAAGTATCTAAAAAACTCATTTTCCTTAAAGTGTGAATTATTCCTGCAAA